GATCAACAGAATCAGATGCATGTGAGACTTTCGTGCACCACAGAACCTCACTACACGTTGTACTTCACTGTCATGTTCAAAAGAATTTCTAGTGCTGAATTTTAAAATATTTGTTGAGAAGGCGCGTTCTGGTTATAACATATATACAGTTGTTTCATCATTGTTACTTTCATTTTGAATGCAAAGTTGTCCAATATTACAGATTTGGGTTTGGGTTGTATCTCAACACCAAGCTTGTATTATGTTTCTCAAAAACACAATAATGCATGGTAGGGGTAGGTATCTATTTTATATCATCATTTGCCACTCGAATATCCCGTGGGTGAGTCATAACGTGACCCGACCCCCACCCTGCCGCCCTATGGGGCAGGGACTCACGTTATCTCTGGTTGTCAGGACAAGACTGAGGCACGTCTTCTGAACTCCTGCTAAAACCACTGAACAAGGGCTGAGTGGTAGAGGTACTTGTAGATGAATGCATAAATGTGGCGTGGGGGTGTCCTAAGCCAAAGCCTGACACTGACAGCAATCAGGGAGATATATTAAGTCTTCAAGGATTGACCATTCGATAACTTAGGATCTGGGACTTTTAAGGTATGAAAGGCTTTCAGCGAATAAGCTTGACAAAATTAACTCCATGCTATATACTGTTGTAAAATAGAAATTGACAACCGTAAAACAATACATGGTAGGGAAGTGTCTTCATACAAACAACAGGTAGGCTCACAGTTTATATTTTATGCAAGAAACAATGTTCTTTTAGCTGAAAGAATAGCTCGTCACAAAATCGCACTCCTATCCTCATCCAACCACTTACCCACCGCCTCCCGTCCCAAAATATATAATGGTCGCTTCCTTATGTTTCACTAAATTATTTTTGATAAATATGTTAACCGTTTTCATTGTGGTTTTCCTTCCAAATAAGATGATTGAACCTCAAAGATAAGTAAGTGCACATGATTATGATACCGAGTAGATAAACTGAAACTGTGCTTGTAGATGCACGTTAACAATGTAGAAGATCTATGACAATAATGGGGCGATCGGGTAGCCTAGTGGTTAAAGCGTTCGCTCGTCGCGCCGATGGCCTATGTTCGATTCTCCACATTGGTACAATATGTGAACCCCATTTCTGGTGTCCCCTGCAGTGATATTGCTGGAATATTGCAAAAGGCGGCGTAAAACCATACTCACTCACAATGAAAATAATGATAAATTGCTGGAAGAACGATTCACGGTAAAGTATTTTTTCAACGGGAATGTATGTTGTGTGGAAGGTCTCTTGTATATCCCTAGTCCCATGCAGGTGGTCGATCAAAAACACCCCGGTGGGATAGGGTATTTCAGCTAAGCCCTTCCATTTCTGGGGCTGTCGACCCTAAGCCAACACTTACTGTGCAGACTACGGGAATAGGGTATATAAGCTTTACTTTCCTAATTGACTGAACTCTGGGGGCACCCTCATCCCCCTCCGACGCTGGTGAATGTACCCCCTTCCGGGCTTTGACGCCCTGAGACTGCGGTAACAGCGGGGTGCGGGATATAGTGAGGCAGTGGGGGAGATTAAGGGTGAGAACCACCCCTGTCGGTTATCATAATTATACTGTAGAAAATTAAATTAATTTCATAATTGATTGATTGATTGATTGATTGATTGACTGGTTGATTGGTTGGTTGGTTGATTGGTTGGTCAGAGCAGAGCAGAGCAGAGCAGAGCAGAGCAGAGCAGAACAGAACAGAACAGAACAGAACAGAACAGAACTTTTGATCTCCTCAAACCGGGATACTCGACACAAGAAGTCCAACTATACAGCTTAGAGTACATAGGATAGCGGGATGGTTTACATCGAAGATTGTACAGTTATCATGATGGTATTACAGAATGTACATATTTATTTAAAACACGTATTTGCTTACAGTTAAACAATTCTTTAAATTTTAACATATCGGGGATTTTTAACATAATAGTTTGGGATATATGTTTTCAATTGACGTTTGAAGAAAGGGCAGAGAAAAATGTAATGAAATTCATCGCCAACATCGCACGTTACTGAGGTTACACATTCTTTCTTAGGGGTAAATGTGTGCGATCTATCTGATTCTATGTAAACCATCACAAAAAGTTCTCAACAAGTAGAATTTAAGAGCCATGTAGAAAGGGATATATGTCAAATAGTTTTCAAGGACAAATTCATATTTGAATATGCTTCAAGTTGTGCCTTTAGAAGGTTAGCTACAGCAGGATCGTGTTCTTGTATAGTATATTCGTGTGGCAACTGATCATGTCGAAAGAGTTTGATAAAAATAGAAAGATTTTGAAGTCGACAACAGTTCAATATAACGACATCTAAAAAATATACTTCCTATTAGACCAACTGCGAACAAAGAAAAACATACATGTATTTACATGTTGACATATGTAACACTTTCACAAACAACACATGCCTGAACTGAGGGTTGTTCGCCGTCCTTAAGATCAGCCTGATCACAGGTTGTACAACGTTGTGAGGCGTTAAGGAAGGTAAAGGTTGCGCGATATGAAATGGCAGTCACTGTTGAATTAAGTATTATTTCATGCAACTTCGATCGTTTTCGAATCCATTCATATTGACTAGCCGTGAGTCATCAACTAGATATTTTAATCTAGCGCTAGAGATCAGATAAGCCGTGCAAGGAAATAGTTTAATCCCTGACAGTTAATCTTAAGCCTACATTACCCTTACTGTGAGCCGCCACACGTGCACATTGCAATAAACACTTTAACTTCAAAACTACTTTCCAAAATGAAAAAAATTGTGCTCTAAAATTAAATGTCTTATTAAACTGCCCGAAGACGGGGAGCATTTCTGGACATGATTACATATTTTTTTCACAGTGAATGTTGTAAGACATGCATAATGCTTCTAGACGGGCATAATTTAGACGTCTTAAAGTCCAATAGCAGCACGTGATTGTCTGCACCCTGTGTTTATAGGGGTGTAGATAACACAACAACCTATATACAGAGCGGTGGGGTTGCCAAGTGGTTAAAGCGTTGGCTCGTAACGCAAGAGACCCGGGTTCGATTCCCCACATGGGTACAATGTGTTAAGCCTATTTTTGTTGTCCCTCGCCGTGATATTGCTGGAATATTGCTAAAAGCGGCATGAAACCGTACTCACTCACTCAGTCACTATAATCTATATATCTATTTGAAATTATCTTTATCCACCCGACCCATCTCTGTACCTGTGCCTACCCACCCGCCTTGTCAGCTCCTGGTGACATGGGGGTGGGGTGGAGTGGGGTCCTTAAGTGCACCATACTTGTTTCCAGCAAGACTGTGTTCTAATTGACGCAACTCTTTAAGTGTTTCAACAAGCGGAGATCCAACACCACGTCCACTCGATGCATATTAATGGTGCGGGTTTTCTATTATTGTGGTTTGGTGAAAATTGAGCATGTCCTGTTGCTGAGATATGCTTCTCCTTTACCGTGCTTCATAAACCGAGAGTGAGTCTCAAGTTTTTAAGTAATGCTTTTGATAATGCATTTCCCTTATGGCCATATGTATACAATTGCCGCAATCAACAAACCCACGTCTGATTTGTGTATTGATTCCTAGGACAGATATCAGTTTGTAGACGACGGGTGTCGATGGCGACGTGATAGAGTCAGTATTCTGAGGGACGTGCCCTAAACATGTTTAGGCTTTAAACACACGTAAATATGACTTTTGTGTAACATTCAATATGTCGTCAGTGTATTCGTTTAGTGATTGTGATGTATAAATTATAAAGCGTGCACGATCTGGTGGCTACAGAGACAGGTTGATCACTTGATAAATGCAGGCTTTGAGATGTTGTCGATACACACAGGAAGACAAACACAACATAAACAGTTCTGTCGCTCGTAAATAGATCCCCTTCTCCAAAATATGTAATGAATCTCTGCTCACAAAAAACCTCGAAAGTACAGGTGCGTAAACAATGCATATCTCATAATGTATGGCTGGGGTGTGTGTGTGTGTGTGTGTTTGATGACATGGGGAAGCATGTACAATATGAATGACCCCCCAATAATTTATGCACAAAGTAAGTGACCCCCCTGCATGAAATTTACAAAATCATTTACCCTCCCCCCTCCCCATAATTTTTTAAGCATAACTTTTTAATATTTTCATGTACAAATTTGCTGACGCGCCCCACCCCCTAGTACATGTGTATAAAATTGATGAGCCCCTACCTCCCCAGAACAAAATGGGTTATCCCCTTTAAAATCAACACACACACACACACCCCACACCCCACCCACTAGCCATAAGTTAGGAACGGTCCCTTAAGATACTCTAAAGGAGCCCTTCGAAAACTTCTACTAGCAAGCTGTAGACGTTTGAGATGAGGTGAAATCAAGATTTCATTAATTGGAGAGTGATCTCAAATACTGTGTTCCTATGTTATATGTGTACAAGTAGGTTAAGTTCGACCCCCCGCATAAAACCTGATGACATGGGTTTCTAGACTGCGTGCTCTCTGAACATTTCCGTGGACAGCGCGTATCACCAATTACATGGTGTGTTGACTGTTAGCTGCATTTTATAACCAACTTCACAAATCTGATGACTTAACCATATTTTTCCTGGGTAGTATGATTGTTAAAAAAATTCTTGACTATTTCCTTATCATATTAAAGATCTTTTTATTTGTTTGTCTTTAACTGTCTATTTAGCGAGCCATTCTGCGTCGATACTCCGTAGTTTTTCAAGTACAAGTTAGTCAATAAATAGTTACGCGCTGGAAAAGATACCTTGGCGAGTCAGCACACATTCATAAACAGGCCCACGAGTTATTTTGTTGGTCCGTTTTAACTATCACTCGGCAGCAATGTCATTCGAGCGCACATTGGAGCATCTGCGAAACCGATTGCAGGCCGTGTGTGATAGGCTGTCAATCAAACCCAGAACGAGGCGGGCCACGGGTTTGGGCCGCGCGTGCGTCGAATGTCACGCCTCTTCAGTCGCAAATGAGGCAGACGATATTTAACTTCAATGGACATCTTTTAAGACGCGTGTAATGCCAATTTGGCGACGAGGGTAAATGAAAACTGCGAACTGATTAATATCGAGGTGAAAACCTTTGAGTGAAGGTCTCAGGTAACTGGTGGTGTTTTTGCCGGTTCGTCTGCGTGTGTAGCAACCAGGTCTGCTGCTAGTTTGTATCGTCTGCCGACCAAATGGACGGGCGAAGTCAGACGACAATTCTCACATCCTTTTCCATTGACAATATCCTTGATCGCAGAGAGAAGGAAAATGAACAAATTTCGAAAGACTCCAACGTGACTGATATTCATGGACTCGATCTGAGAGTGGGTGCTGGGCTGACGGGGTGTGAGGCACGGCTGACGTCGCCAGATAGGGGTAGGGAGGAGGGCGACTTCTCCGACGGCGACTCCAGTGTCCTGACTGACCCATCAAGCCCAGCTACATATTGTGACAGCACCAAGGACCTTGACTTGTCCGTGGTGAGCGACTCAGACGGCGATAACGACGACGATGACATGACAGCCGACGGGAACGTTGACAACACGTTATCAGGTACGTACTTATCTTCAGAGATAATCTCAGCTCTGTGTTCGGAATTTGGATAAACATTGTGAGATGTATTACCAGTTTTGAAATGGGCTTTTTATGTATACATTCCGATCTGTAACTGTCAATATATTTACATTAGAATGCAGATTTCTTGCTGGTGGTATATGAACAGTCATTTTTCAATTTTCAAAGGAGCCTTCTCATTTGCGCGCTTAGATCCATTTTGCCAGTCTTTCAGGGACAACGTTGAAAACCTATATAATTTTATCCAAACGATGTAGTTCTTTAGAACTGGCCTTCTTTTTTTGGACACTGCATGGATGTGTATCCATCAATATTACATACAGATATATAACATCTCCAATGTTATTCACTAAATATTAAAAAGTCTGTTAGGTAGCTAATAGTTAGTTTGTTTGAAATTCTCTTTCGGTGTGTATGAAATATATAGACCATTGTTTTTCAACATGTATAAAACATGGGCGGAAGTTTTGTTAATGGCGGTTGTGGTTGTCAAAGAATGCACACCTCCACATCGAATCTACATGCGATATGAGGTCACATGAATCATCTATCAATATATCAATATTTTAACCTTTAATATGTACCTTGTTAAGATATAACATCTCTTTAACGTTGTGTTTTAATATTCAGTTGCTTCAGTTTTATTCAGTACACTTTCATTTTACTGCCCACGGCCAACATTTACTTGTCATTGATGAGATATTATTGTAACATCGCAGGAATATATTGTAGAAAGATAAACGCTTGAGTGGCATATTGTAATTCTATAGGGCGTGTATTATTTGTTCCTGTAGAATCGGTTTAACTGTACGTTTGATATGGGTGTTCAAAGTTTAGACAGTTGCACTACACATGTTAAATTCATTGACAAGACCCACTGATGGGATTTGTAGTTAGTATGTTTAAGTTGTCATATGGAATGCTTGGCTAACAGCATATAAAAAGAAATCGTTTACAGTACGTATCATTTTCTTGTGTGAATCAGCTTGGAATACACTTTGCCATATTTCATTTAGAATAAAATAAAACAAAGTTAGCACAACACAATGCATGTTTTGGAACCGTTAGCTCACATGGTCGTGGGTTTGTGTTATGTAAAAAAACCTTAACATGTGTTTAAGATAAAAATACGAGTTCTTGAAAATGTATTCAATATGGGTTGGGTTTCTTTTACGAATTATTAAATGTATTTCAAATATAACGCATCGTCTTCTTGATTCGTTTATACTGAGATATATGTTAAAGAAAGCCATCTTTCAGTGATGGAGAACGGTGCATTGTTAGATATTTAAGCTATTTTCGAATGTGAATAGCAGTTTACTAAAGTACTTTCAAATGAAAAACTAAATCATTGGAACTGATCTGTGTACAAACGTTAATCGTAGTTCTACTAATATATATATATATATCTTAGTAGAGTCCACACAGTGATCCTCGTCACTTCTTAAAGAATTAGAAATAACCACATGTTTTAACCCAACTCTCCGGTAACATGCTGATATTGTTTTCCTACCTGCAACATGAGGTCTGAACAAGAAAGCGCAGGACAAGATGTACTGATAAATCAGTTTTTGGTCATTCGGATTGTCATGGGCAGTGATATCCACACCGTTTTGTGCTTTTATAATGTGCAGTATTGTCTAACAATACCCTCTGTTCGATGCGTTTAGCAATTAATACTGCCCATGAATACGTCCTCTGTTAATTTGAGACAAATACCGAGATACATTTCAAGTTGGTTCTAAATCGCCTACAGGGAGTTGCAAAGTGGTAGGGCACTCTTATACATTTCGTGGACGTATTTCATATATTTTTCTCGTAACAGATAACAGAAACGAAATTAGTATGGCTCTTGAAACTTCTCACATGCCTGTTAGACCAGGGAAGTGTGCTAGGGATGAGTTTGTACAGTATGTATACAGTTACGGTATCGCAACGCTAAGTCCCATTTCAGAGATCTTCTATTACAGTGTTGAGTATACTCTGGTACGTTTATGTTCATTCTTGTCTTGTCGAGATATTAAAATAATCACATACGTAATTACTTGCTGACACAATGAACGTTGTACAGAATATATTATTACATGTCCAGATTGGACATTTCTATATGTCAATAAATCCATTTTTATCACTTAATTAACACCTGTGTTTTGGAACTGGCACATTGAAATCGACAAGGAAAATTGACCTGGGATTATGTGCCACTCTACTAAATCCCCGTGTGATTGTAGATCAAACAGTTATCTCGTCCTCTGTCGATTTTAATGTCTTCCTACTACCGCGTTATTGACTAGTGAGGCGTGATCGATGCACAGACAGCAAACTGGCAGCGTAGTAATAATGTCAACTGTATTTGTAATATCGGATCATTTGTTGTAAGGTAACACCCGTGTGAGCAGTGTTGGGTGATTTGTAGATTAGAAAGTACTGTACATATTGTCATGCATGCACTTTATTACAGCCTATTCACAAAGTCAGATGAAAGTGTTAGCTTAATATCTGGCCTTTACGACCTTGTTACTGAACCATTGGGGTTTCTCAGTATGAGCGTAGACTAGTATTAAACGTTTTCATCAAATTATTTAAGGAAGGTGGTTGTAAGATGAGTGAGTGAGTGAGTGATAGAGTGGCCTTTCTTCTTATTTTTTAACAATAGTAGTATTCAGGTAGATTGAATTATTCATAAGGTATGTTACGAAAACGACATTTTCTATATTCGATCCAGATCGTCTTTTTAAATAAATTGATTTTAAACGAACGGTATGAACGTACTTCGAATGTCAGTGTCGTATATTTCAGATGTCCTGGTGCTTTTGTCTACATCAAACAGTATTGATCGGAGGCATTTACAAATGAAAGACGGTTATCTGAGTTAAACTCGGAATTAGATTACCAGCTGTTTGTGACATACGCACGCTGAAATCAACAACACGTGTTACAAAATAACGGCGCTTCGAAGATGTCGCTTAAGTGTCACTTGTGATATCGATGCATAAATCTGGCCTGTTCCGTCTGATCAATAAACAAGACTACAACGGGTGTGAACATTGATAAGAGTTCGGATGTTGTACCGTGACAATGTAGATTGTTGTTAACTCAGTTGTGATAAAATATTTAAAATAAAATATCAAAAACGTAGTGATTATCTGCTGATATATTGCGTAATTCTACAACTGATATATCAACCGAGGGAAATATCGACACCAACTATGATGTTTCAACGACAATCAGAATCGTTAGCAAAATAATCACGGCAAAGTAACAACACAACTGAAGGTGAAAAGTCACAAGGTTGTTGTCATTGACATATGAACTCATAAGCCACGGACAGCTGTTACGGACTGAAATAACTATTTTATAAGTACATTGCGCTACTATGTATACAGTTTCGTATGAATAATATATTACCTAATAAAGACAATATTTTCCACAATACCTTTCCGCGCTTCATGAATTTCCAAACAAACACAGAGAATTGCAGTATTTTATCTCATGAGATTAACTTCAAACTGCATTACGATTGTCCAAACCTCAGCCTGTCCTTTCACGCCCTTTGGCCACTTCCTGTCTCCAGCCTCCGTTCGACTGACCATGTGTGATGGAAGGGGGCACATCTTGACCACATGGCGGTGTCCATGCTGCCACAATGACACTGTTGAACGCGGCATCGCTGGACATGTCCCCGGTACCGGCATCAGACCCTATCAACACAGCACGACTCCGTCGTTGGGAAACAGTGGAGTAGAGCTTGGTCTTGGACCGAGCGTTCCCTGGTAACAGGCATCGAAAAAACAATTGTTTTTCGTCTATTTTATGAGAGTTTTTCTTATTTACCCAAGATAAAAGACATGATTGTGCAACTGTTTTCATCTTGCATGAATCAGTTTTTTGTCATCGGATGTTAAACAACCGCTTGTCACAGAGTTTCAGAAGACTTAAAAACTAGTGTTTCCTTTCCAACCAACCGTCGGGTATAAGTGTTTGTCTGTCATAGAAAACCCTTTGAATACATACAAGTGTTACTTCCACATCTGAGCGTAAGAAGGAAATAATCTGAAACATTTGTCCCCAACCAAAACACAAAAAATATACTTGAGCAGTGTCTAAAAAAATCTGAAACGTCTTTATTAACACTAAAAGCTGAAAATAGAGATACATTGTAACATTGCCTCCCTCGTTAAAATAGACCAAGGGATAGATACAGCTAAATTACAGACAGTCAATAAGTAAGTCAAATGACCCGCTAAGCAGCTATGGACACGATTCCTACCCATAAAATAATCATAAGAATCTCAAACAATCAAAGCGGTTTTCCAAGCGAGACGGCTAATGTTCTGTGAGGCACCGACGTTCTTTCGTGGAATTTCACACCCCGTGTAAACGATGCACTCAGTATCTGAGCTGAGCGATAATCTCCACAACTGTACCCACCCCGTATTTACCGGCGTCATCTTTCGGATTTATAGAACATTTAGATTTTTACATGCTTCTTGCGTAAACAAATTCAAGTCAAATGTCAGGAGCGAATGTGACTGCAAGTAATCGCCTTTAATTACACTCGTGTTAACAGCTCTTAGCGGGAGCTGTGTGCACGTACATATAGTGTTTGTGCAAGACTTGAGCAGGAGGCGGAACGAGGCCTCTTTGACTGATCTGAGGAACATTACGAATGTTTATAGATTTCCTCAAAACAATAAATACCGACTGCTTTCCCCTCGCATCTGGTTTAGTGGATGCGCGTTCGCTTCACACACACATTATCAACTTCTCACGGAGTTTCTTCTTGGAGTTTTTACCTGAACGTTTTCAGATTTCTTAGTTTTTGGCCTCGAGAATAGCTGGCATAAGTCCTTCTGAGCACAAAGTACAACCAAAACGAAATGTTTTTAAGTTGACACAATATTTCCGTTTTGTCTTCAAGTGAGAGTTCAAATCGTACGTCTTTTAACGGTTTAGCCTCGTTGTTTGGTATTTGTTTA